GGAGGAATAATGAAAGATTTAATAGGCCATTTAAGGACTACATTAAAATGGCTTTTTTAAAAGCCACCAACGAAAACTCTTAAGAGTTATTTTCTTTATCGTCCATTTTGATTGAAAGAAAAGCTTAATTTCTGCTTCACTCATTCACCCTTGAAGGCCTGAGGTTGTGGCTCCACGTCCATTTCATATGTGATGTTGCTCTCGCTTTACTGTAATTGCAAAAAAAGCACTTTTCCCCTCGCTGAAATGGCATCCTTCACCTTGCTTTGCTTCATAGCACAAGGATATCATGCAAATTAATGTGTAGGGTGTGAATAGACAATAAGTTTTGACTCGTGACTTGACTATGAAGACTTGAGGATTACCTGAGACCCAGAAGTAATGTCTTGGTCCTGCTTCTGTTGATTAGGAGCAGCGGTCATTCAGAAGGTAAAAGGTCCTGTAATCGGTGTGTCGCAGATTAGAGACCCTGCTCTGTCTGTCTCCGTTGTTTTGATCTTGGACAAGACACTTCACGTGCCGTGCCACCTTGGGTTGTTTAGAAGGTTCAATGGCACTGTGGTACAACAGCCTCACTTCTGTCAGTGTGCCCCAGAGTAGCTGTGGCTAAAATATAGCTCAGCACAATGACTGAATGTAGATTGGGCTCCTAGGACTTGATAAAACTTTGCAGAGGTACAAGATATTAAGTTCTGAAAACCATTGTTTGCACCAATTTCAAAATCAGAGTAAAAGGGTCTAAATCCAAGTGAATTATTTTTAGATATATTGCATTGATTTTCAGTAGATGGAGTTTAATAAAACTCCATCCACCTTAGAATTATGCATGACTTTCTGTGCAAACCACCCGGTAAAATCTTTGGACGCAGCCATATTTTCTTGAGCTCCACGGATAGGGTCACAGGTTTGCACAGGTTAACACTCTGCAGCCACTGAACTGGTTAATCAGACCACTTAAACAGACGCCGCCTCTGCCTCTGGAGTTGTTAAGCTAAAAGTGTCCTGTGGTTTACATGACACAAGCCAAGCCACAGTTATTTCAAGGCCTTTCTAAATCTGAACACTGAATATAGCTGAATGTTGCTTCACTAACTTAAGCCAGTGTTTATCACTTAAAGATGTAATTACTGTGAGTTTGATCCCTGATCGCATCGACTAAGATAAACAAATAAAAGCCACGCATTCAGAGTCTGGCTTCATTGTCAGGAATTTACAGCAGAGAAGCAAGTGAGCGGACAGTTTAACATGGACATGAAGGAATTTATAAATGTCTGGACCTCAGATGAACCGGTCGCAGTGGGGCAGCTCTAACTCTGCATGGCGCGGCCTTTTGATTTCTCCACATGTTGAAGTGATAAAGAAGAGTAATAAAATTCCTCTTGGAATTTAAGGACAAATGTTTGTATAAACCTTTTTAAAGAAAAAAATGAGCAATCTTGTAAGACAAAGTCAACAAACAAAGCAGTAAAAATAAAGATTTATGTAATATTTGTAGTTTTCTATCCAAAAAAGGGAACATCTGACAACTGGCAGCCTGGTTTTCTGATGGTCCTCATATAAATAAATGGACTTCTCTCCCTCGAAAGATTAGCAGCTGTGTCCACACGTCTCTTTGTTCACACTCTGGCCCTCTTCCCGTGACTTTATGAGAGAGCTGGGTGGAAAATTTCTGTAGGAGGTATAGACATGTACCTCCACATATGCCGCTTGTCCCTTTGGAACATCTCTGGAAAATT